GATGCTGGTAAATTTGGTGTATTACCTGGAGCTTCTATATTTCAAACTGGAAACTGTCTTCTCTGAAGGTGGTATATGATGTTATTTTGAGCTACTAGAACTTTGGTCAATCTTTCCTTCCCTGTGTGTCACAGAGAGCATCACTGAGAAGTGTGTACAGAGGACCTCAAGATAGAAAATTGGCAGGACCTTCTAGTCCTCTTTCTGCTGGCTAGTTTTTTCGCCTCTACTGTTAAAGTCTTTGTTTGATAAACCATGTTTTCTTCTGACAGGTCCACACCTTTTCAGTGATCTGCAAAATTGTTCTTTCTTCAAGAAAGGAGTTTCTTTTGCCTCGTTCCTTACACCTTCCCCACTGGTACTGATGGTTTTGATAATAAATTGGTAGAAAAAAAAATGTACCTCGTAGAAGGAAGCCCTGTCTGCCATTTCCGGGTGCCAATGGCTAAGCAGATGTCCTGCAAAAGTGATAACTGTAATGTGCACACTATTGGTTATTTTTAATAAGCCTCTTCCTACTAGAACATTTTATTTTCCTTGTTCACCATACAATCATGTACTCTTTAACAGAAATTACTTTTAAAAAAATCTGGAACTATCTTTAAAAAAAACTTTATTAATAATCATGTATTTTTACTGATCACATTTTGAAATGCCTAAAAGACTTTATTGTTCTAATTATCCAGATGTACCTTTGTAAAATAGCTCTTTTATGAATTAGCTGATAAGACTATGTTTCTGGAACAAAATATTGGTCATCTAAAAACTTTCTGTTTTCTGGGGTCTGGGAAAATAGAAAATGAAAGTTCAAATATTAAATATGCTTAAAATAACTAAGGATGTGACTTTTTATTTATATTCTTCTTGCTCTGTCTTATACAAGTTACATTAGAAAAGCTTAGGCACCAGCACTTGGGTAGCTCAGCAGTTGAGCATCTGCCTTCGGCTCAGGTCGGGATCCCGGGGTCCTGGGATCGAGTCCTGCATCAGGCTCCCTACGGGGACCCTGCTTCTCCCCCTGCCTGTGTCTCTGCCTCTCTCTCTCTGTGTCTCATGAATAAATAAAATCTTTGAAACGAAAGAAAAGCTTAGGCACCAAGGAGGCCTTGATTAATCTTCCTGGCAGTGACCGTCCAACATCTTCCTGCTTATGAGAACATCTTTACTGGGGGAGTAGCCAGCTGGCCACTAATGTGTGAGCTTCTGTGAAGACACCATCAGTTGGCAATGTTGCAGCACCTGGGCCAGCTTCATTGAGACCTAATGCACATGTCATACAGTTCATTCCTTTAAAGAGTACAATTCAATGACTTTTGATCTAGTTTTTTAAATTGTAAAACATATGCACATAAGATTTGTCATTTTAACCATTTTTAAAGTATATAAGTCAGTGGGATTAATGGTTCACTTGAAAATAACTTTGGCTTAATGCTACCCTAAATGAAAATAGGATGTCTTTATTACCATTCTCATCCCCAACGCTGGATTTCCTAAGGTAGCAACATTTCTTTTTTTTTTTTTTTTTTTTTTTAATCCCATTTCAATCCTGAAAGCTTGCTGATTTGGGGACTTGTTGGTTTGTTAGTTTTGACATAGACGTATCATTTGACTAATTCTTAGGATGACATTTGATTGTTCAGTCATTCGGGGGCACATTTGGCCAGTAGATCTGATAAGTACAGCGAAAAATGCTTTATATTTTGCAGGATTTTTTAGTTAAGCCCATTAAAAATTGAGACTTTAAATATACTTTGTGGCCATTAAACTGTTAGTGCTTGCAAGTGTGTTTATGAACGTAGGTTGTGGGGGTGATGAATACCTGTTCCATTCCCACTTGGTCCTGGATGCCTATCTTCTAAGAGGAACAGCAAAAATTAAGCACTGTCTCTGCCTGTGAGCAGTTACTTATATTCTTTCCATCCCTCTCCCAAGCCACGGGACTGGCTCACCAAAGGTTTAGTACCAACTGGAAAGATCAGAGGATCTATCCCGATGAATAATTGCTTTTCAGTTGATGTCTTTCTACTATGACGAATGTCCTCAAACATTACAGATAAATAGCTAGATCTAGGTGTTTCCCATTTTTTCCTATAATGGCAAGTATCACCCATACTGCTAACTGCAAGCACTTGCTTGATTTTAGGCACCAGGAAGCATGTTTGTTTTGCCACCTATTGCTAGTGAGACACCAGCATTCCCTGAGCATCAGCCAAGGCCTCGGTGTGAAACCATTTAGGGTAGGTAGAGAGCTCTCTTTTTATTCCAGTCTTTTCCCCTTACTTGGTGAGGGTGCTTTTGGGCCTACCTATAATTTAAGGCTTCCTTTACAGCATTTTATTCTAGGGTATCCCTTTCTTTGTATACATGTAATTTTTTTTTTTTTTGGGAGAAGTATCTGCACAGATCAATTTTTTTCTGCTCTCATTATTTTAAATAAGGGCAGCCGAGCTCAATCGTTTCGATCTCAAGATCACTTCATACTCCTAAAAGTTCTTGTAGGCCTCCTGGAGGATCTTGTATTCATGTGGAATGTGTCTACTGACCTTGACCTCGTTAGAAAGGAAAATGAGAAAATTCCTTATGAGAAAGGAGAAAACCAATAAAAAACATTAATTCATTTAAAAATAATTGTAAACCCATTTTTCACAAAATGATTCATGAGAAGAGTGTTACAGTTTTTCAGATGTCTTTAATGTCTGTCATAGCAAAAGACAACTGGATTCTCGTATCTACTTTTGCATGCAATCTGGTGTGCTATGTTGCTTCGATTGAAGTATATGAAAAAAATCCAGCCTCACACAGACACATATTTTAAAAAGGGAAAAGTATTTTAATAGCCTTTTCAGATGGTTGTGGATATTTTGATACTACACTGAAACTTGACGAGTGGTAGTTTCTTAAAAGAGCAGCAATGTGGAATCTGAAGCCACATCAATGAAATTTTTATACTTTGTGACACTAAAATACATCAGTCCATTTTAAACTTCAAGTGTGTGAAAAATGGCATCTTTTACCCATGCATGGTTTTATAATACCCCGTATCAGTAATTTGGAAAATAACTGGTTTCCTGAACTACACAGATCTTCACTTGTTGACACATTTCTTTACATAAAATCAAAAGCTCACGTTCATTGGTATCGATAACTGATCTCATTGGAGAAGTCTCACGGTGGTGGACACAAATTTCCAAATTAGTAGTCTGATGAAAATAGTTATGATTGGATCCCTGAAAATCTTGGCGACACCAGGGGTTTTCAGACCATACTTTGGGAAGTGTTGGGGTGGTGAAAAGAGCCTGAAGGGTCAGGTTCAGTTCTAGCTCTTCTGTTCACTTGCTGTGTGACCCCGAGTCACCCCCTGGGTCCCATTTCCTCAGCTCCAGATCAGGGTCAGTAATACTTAATGGAGTTATTGTGGGGCGTGAATAAGAAATTTCCAAGCATGTGATCGGTGTCTCTCTAGAAAGCTGGTGATGGCAGTATTTTATTCTAGGAGTTGAATACTTAAAGTGGGAAAGGTGAAAGATGATGAATGAATTTAGGATATGGAAATCTCTCTCTTACGAAGGCAGCCCTATTTCGGGTTTTATCATGGTTTTGTGTGTCCAAAATGCTAGGCTTACGTGTATGTGTGTTTGTGAGAGAGAAGGAGGGAGAGAATGTATGTTCATTTTTTAAAAATTGGTTGCTAGCCTATATAATAATATACTTGTTTAACCTAGTTCTTTTAAATGTAAAGAAAGAAAGAAATGGTGATTTAGTAAGAACTTTGGTTTTAAGATTTTATTTATTTGAGAGAAAGCGTGAGCAGGGGAAGGAGCAGAGGGAGAGAGAGAAGCAGACTCCCCACTAAGCAGGGAACCCAACGTGGGACTCGATCCCAGGACCCCAGGATCATGACCTGAGCTGAAGGTGACAGTCCACTGAGCCACCCAGAACCTTGGTTTTAAGGAGCCTATATATTGAACTTGTGCTGCTTTGGTGCTACTGTTATAAGGGGGTGGAGTTGTGGTCGCAGGAGACGTCCCAGAAGTTACGCAGTCCTGTGTAACTAATGGTTTTTTTCATCTTGCTGAAAGCCTCCTTCCATACACAGTGTGCTGATGCTATTTGGGTTTATCCTCCCATTAAAGCTAGACCTTGGTAGTTTGGAAACATCTTTAATTTCCTTAAAATATATGAGCTGCTTACATTTTTAATTAATGGGAGACTGAGTTATAGTGTGATTATTTAATGAAACTTTGCGTTTTATCTTCCTAAAAATGCATATATTACCATAGCTACTGTGGTAAAGAGCATAAGCGATTTTCATATTCATGTATGGATATGAACTTCTTATGCTTTAGGACCTTTTCTGGAGAACGCAAACCCTGTAGCCCAGACAGCATGGCCTGAAGGGCGATGTGGGGCAGGGTTTCTGGGGCTTTCCCTGTCTTCCCCTCCTATCTGTACATCAGACCAAGGAAGCATGACCAGACCAAACTAAAGTCCTTTCTACTCTCTGCTCTCATTTAGCTCATTGTCTAACCCGGAACAAGTCATTTGCCAGGTTTCTCATCTTCTCCTGAGGTAGTTAGGTGCCAGTTCTCTCTTGGGTCCCTCCAGTCCTGACAGTCTCCAAGGTCGATGACCCAAGAACACAGAGGTGCAGCTTAGAGGGGGCTCGCTGGGCCGTCCCAGGTGAGCCCCAGCCTTTCCTGGACTCGTGTGTTCCTCCAAATAAGAGCATAATTTTAATGTCACTCGCTGAAGTCTGTCCCTGGAAATCTCCCTTTGCCCTCTTCTTCTTTGGCATCTCTTCTTTTGATAGATTCCTCTAGTTGAGCATGACCTACAGTCTTCTGAGGCATTATTTATATTTTCTCTGTTGTCCTCATCTCCATGCCAGTTTACAAGAATCTTGAGGGCTTTTAGGGAAGCGGATCTGATATTCCTGGTTCACAGAAGACTTTCTGAGCATGGGCTGAGAGAGACTGACAGGTCTTTTTTTTTTTTCTTTTTTTAATATAGAACACTTCTCAGATTTGCGTGTCATCCTAGCGCAGGGGCCGTGCTAATCTTCTCTGGATCATTCCAATTTTAGTATATGTGCTCAAAGCGAGCCTGAGACTGGCAGAGCTTACCTCCATTCCCTCTCGTGTCCTGTCCTGATTGATGGCCTCTTCTGAAAGGCTTCTGAAATTTGGCAAATTCACAAAAGTTGAGTGCCCGGAACCTGAGGTGGCTGGATTGATTATTTAGCCAGCAAGTGCTGCAGCAGCAAAACAGGCCCAGCCAGCAAGAATGAGTCCCAGAGAACTTGGAGGCTTTCATGCAATCAAATATTTATAAACAGCTCCAGTGGAAGGAAAAGAGGCACAAAACTCTCCCTATGCCTTGCCACCTATTGAAAGTAAAAGCCTCGAATTTGGGGCGCCTGAGTGGCTCAGTCGGTTAAGTGTCTGCCTTTGGCTCAGGTCATGATTTCAGGGCGCTGGAATCGAGCCCCGTGTGGGCTTCCCTGCTCAGGGGGGGAGTCTGCTTCTCCCTCTCCTGCTCCCCCTGCTTGTGCTCTCTCTCTCTCTCTCTCTCTATCAAATAAATAAATAAAATCTTTTTTAAAAAGACCTCAAAATTTCTTGACCTTTTTCTTTTTCCTTTCAGAAAGTGGCCTCTTTGAGATACATTCTAATTTGATGGGGGCAGCCAGTGATATTGGGCTGCAGTACCTACGGAGCCTAATGTTTGCCTCCTGTGGGGTATCTGTACTCTAATAGGAGTGTGGGGGAAGGTTCTGGAGCTGTAAATGTGAGTTTTGATTGATTACCTGACATGCTCAACTTCTTCCTGTCTCTTCAGGGAAGCGCCGCATCGCAATTAAGCCTGGGCACAGGTTATCTTAACCCGGAATCTTTCTATCGTGGGTCGGAGTACCTGGGCAGCCACGACTGATAGGGTTTCCTGACTAATCAGTCAAGTTTATTGCTAGCTTTGTTTCAGAAAAGAAAGGATTGGAGGAACAAGGTGTTTGAAGATGTTTGGAGGGAAAAAATAAAATGTTGGCCTTCGGGGAAAGAGGCAAAAGTTCAGGATCGTTTATCGTTTTTGTTACTAGGGAAGGCCTGTAATGCTTTTTTCTTTCAAAATGTATTCTTTTTTAAGATTTTATTTATTTATTCATGAGAGACACACAGAGAGAAGCAGAGACACAGACAGAGGGAGAAGTAGGCTCCATGCAGGGAGCCTGACGTGGGACTCGATCCCGGGTCTCCAGGATCACGCCCTGAGCCGAAGGCAGATGCTCAACCACTGAGCCCCCCAGCACTCAAAATGTCTTTCTGGTGTGCTCCTTGCTCTATCCCCAGCGTGGCCGGGTCGTTTTGGACAAACACCAGCATGAGCGTGGGTTCCTGCTCCTCACGTCACTTGTCAGCCCAAGAACCGTAATGGCTCTGTGGGGACTCCCACAGGGAGACCCAACTCTACTTAGTTTCTGAGATGTTCATGATTTCTTTGGCCAACTTGATTTCCCTCTCCTACCCATCATGGCCCTTCACCCGAGTGAGGCTTAGCCTCCTCCCTGCCCCCCCGCACCTTGCCCCCAGGTAGTCCTGCCTCAGCCTTTGCCTTCAGGCCAGCCCAGAACGTACCTGTCCATCCATGTCTTGCTCGTGTTTCCAAGCTCCCTTTTTTCATTCTCTGCAACTGCCAGCTACTGTTCTCTTTCCCTGACTCCTTCCGCAGTTGGGGCTTCCCCCTGTATCCCACCAAATCCCCACATTTCCACTTAGCAGTCCAGGTATCGGGTGCCCGCTCCGCAGAGCAGTGTGCAGCATCTCGGGGAGGATGAAAGTAGGGGCCACAGTTCATTGTGTATAAGCTGCACGTCAGGTGTTGTCCCCTTATGTACCTTACCTCTGATCTTCACAAGCACCCCAAGAGGTAAGTAGTTTTTCTCCTTTTTTTTTCTTCACAAATGAGGTGATGGAAGCTTGGGGTGATTCTCGTGTCCCTGATGGAATAGCTAGGCTTCAAGAGAGGGCCTGGCTTCCACCAAAGCCCTGCTGTGGAAATAGTTTCTTCCCTTAAAGATGTTTGCAATCAAATAGCGAAGGCAAGGGTATGACTATCACTTATCTGCCTTTCTCCCTTTACTAAATTGCAAGCTATTTATGCTGGACCAAGGGGTAGAAATTTGCATTTCATTTCAGCCGTTTGATCCCGGGACAGGTTTGGACACAGCTGCACATAAAAAGGATAAATCCAGCAACTGAATCACACTGAGTAGAAAGGGGACAGTTAGCAAATGGGGAAGCTGGTGAAAACCTACACTGACAGCCAAGAGGCTTGAAATCGGTCATGACAATGGGAGGAAATGGTATAGTCGAGGTAGGATCTACACAGGTTGGCATGTGAGTTACTATGCAGAAGAAGGAGGGGTTAAAAAAAAAAAAAAAGGAAGACTGTTGCATGGACCTGAAAGATTGGTGTTGCCATTAGCAGAAGTGGGGAAGTGTGAAGGAGGGAGGCTGTCAGGGGAAATTAGTTCCATTTGGCATGTGCAGTTGAGGCAGCCGTCTATCAACAGCCACGTCTTCCAAGAAGCTGCAAGTGTGGTGCTGGAGGCCAACTGGAGTCCCACCTGTTGGTGTCCTGGCCGGATGCAGAACAGGAACCCTGCGTCCATAAACCTCAGAGTGGAAAGTGCTTCCGAGTCCATCCGCTGATGAACGGGTCAGCAAAATGACACATCCACCCAATGGAATGTTATCTGGCCCTTGCACGCTACATCATGATGGTCCTCGGAAACTTCACACCAAGGGAAGAAGCCAGTTACAAAATACCCACAGATTGTATGATTCATTTACATGAAACGTCTAAAATAGGTGATTCCATAGAAACAGAGAGCAGATTTCTGGTTGCCAGAGGCTGGGAGATGGGAGAGTCCAAATGGGTTTGGAGGGATCAAAATGTTCTGGAATTCGAAGATGGTGACAGTTACACAACCTCACAAATACACAAAGAAACATTGGATGGTACACTTAAGGAAGGTGAATCCTGTGGTTATGCGAATTATGTCTTTTCTTTTTTTAATGGAAGAAAAAAAAGGACCTCAGAGATCGCCCACTTTGTTCCCATCCTGAGTGATTCAATGCTTTCATCCATCCCCTACCTACACTCCTTAAACATGCTTCAACAGCTCCCGTCACAGGGAACTCACCATCCCGCACACCTCGTAGGGTTGTGTTGATGAAAATGAAGGAATAAATGGAAAGTTTGTCGTACCTAGCATATAGTCAACACTTGATAAATGATCTTTTTTTTTTTCTTACTTCTCTCCTGCCCTTTACAACACTAGAAACCCAGTAAGAGCTCAAATACTACATGTGTTTGGTCCTCCAATAGCCTAAAAAGCCCGAAGCACCAAGCTGAAGCAATGATCTTGTTGGAATAATCTGTGCGAACGTAAGGTTGGTTAGGGATTTTGTTTTTTAAGAGTCTTGATGGGGTCTACGGATGCTTTTACTGCCAGTGAGGTCGGTTTGCTAGCAAGTTTGTTTTTCCCCTTCATGAGGTGTGCACCCAGCGTGGCCAGAGATCTGAGGTGCTGTTGGTTAGAGACAACTGGGTGACCGCCCAGCAACATGCCAGGGGAGCTTTGATCCCAGGGTCCTGGGATCAGGTCCCGCATTGAGCTCCCCACAGGGAGCCTGCTTCTCCCTGTGTCTCTGCCTCTCTCTCTGTGTGTCTCTCATGAATAAATAAATAAAATCTTTAAAAAAAAATTGAGAGCAGTCTTTATTTAACATGAGGCAGGTGACCCAAACCTTCCTAGTAACCCTCTGCATTTTGGTAAATAGAAGACAGAACCAAAGCTACTTTATACAGTGAGTGAAAGTAATGAGTCACTTCCCCAGATTCTTATCCTAATCTCAGATTTTATCCCTGTTTTGGCTGAGGTCAGGCGAATACTATGAAATGGTATGGCACCAAAATCCTAGGCAGGAGACACTCTATTTAGAGTCAATCATCTACAACACTAGGTCACCTTTTACAAGCCGTTTGATATAATCTGTTGGTCTGACGCAGCCCTGGCCGTGGCTGAAGACGTCTGGGTGATCTCCTGGATTGCTTCCTAAACCACTGCAATAAACCCAACAGGAGAAGGCCTCAATGGCTTTGCACCAAGGGGGAGTCCCTCCCACCTCTCATTCCCTCGGCTTCCCAACCACCCCCCCCCCGCCCCTAACCCACCCCTGATGCTGGGCAGCTAGACCCACAGGACCCCAGCGTTACTCTCAGAGGAACAAAACAACCGAAATGTCCCCACCTGCTTTTTTAACTGGTCGGGTGGTTTCCAGATGTCAGTGTGAAGCATTTTTCCAGTGGCTCAGCGGTTTAGCGCTGCATTCAGTCCAGGGCGTGGTCCTGGAGACCCAGGATCAAGTCCCAAGTCAGGCTCCTGCATGGAGCCTGCTTTTCCCTCTGCCTGTGTCTCTGACTCTCTGTGTGTGTCTTTCATGAATAAATAAATAAAATCTTTTTAAAACAAAAAACAGCATTTTTCCTAATCAACATTGTAACCTTCTGGATATTTGTTCAGCTACGTTGAATATACTCTATTAAGTGGAACTCTACAGACGGGAAAGCAGGTCTGAACCTCGCTTCTCTGGAGACATCATGATATTTCTTATTATTTGATGGTGTTAGTATTTTGCTAGGATATTAGCGAGCAGTTTGCCTGCTGGAGGGTTGTCATTGCCTCTTCCTTCAGCCGCCAGTTTTTTTTTTTATTATAAATTTATTTTTTATTGGTGTTCAATTTGCCAACATGTAGAATAACACCCAGTGCTCATCCCCTCAGGTGCCCACCTCAGTGCCCATCACCCAGTCACCCCTACCTCCTGCCCACCTCCCCTTCTACCACCCCTAGTTCATTTCCCAGAGTTAGGAGTCTCTCATGTTCTATCTCCCTTTCTGATATTTCCCACTTATTTTTTCTCCTTTCCCCTTTATTCCCTTTCACTATTTTTTATATTCCCCAAATGAATGAGACCATATAATGTTTGTCCTTCTCCGATTGACTTACCTCACTCAGCATAATACCCTCCAGTTCCATCCAC